AAATAGTTTTTATCTACAGGTAGCAATGTATCATCGCATAAAGACAATGGCAAACCCTCAACAAAATTCACATTTCTTATTTTCAATAACTGGTCATACAATGGTTGCCAACACGAATAAAATATAAACAGCATTTTCAATCAAAATTTTCACAAAATATGTTTTACCGCTGTTTAAAGGACCTGACACAATTAGACTAAAAGGGTGTTGTAGTCTAAAATCAAAGCCATAGTCTCTCTAACAGCCATTTCAAAAGCTGAATGGTAAAGTTCTCAGATCAGGAAAAACTCTGCGTTTCATGTACACGACTTGAAATCTTTTGGCAATTGTTTTGTTTTTTAGTTCAAAAGCCTTTTTATTGCTCAATATAGTGTCTGATTTTGTCAGCATGTGTTGCGGCGTCTCGTCAGAATTCAGAAACTTGTGTACAAGATCAATCAGGGTGTCTGGAGTGACAACTGATGCGTTATGAGAAGTTATAATGTTACGCCTTTGCATTTTATTAGCGATCAAGAGGTGAATTTGTGCATTAAGTATACTTTGTCAATTAAAGCAAACTAGGTAGCCTTCTGTGTTTGAGAACTGCGCTGTTTTTCTGTAGTAAAAGTATCTTTTGTATTTCAAGCAAATAGGAGGCATTTTAATAAATTTTAACAAAACTCCCGTCACCGCTATGCATCATGGGATTTCTGAGGGACGGCCTTTAAGCTGATAGGCTATAAGGTCCTCAAATTCCACTGGAAGCCAACAGCCTTGCTTTTACACCTGTATGGCAGTAGGGGGTGGTAAAACCTGTGGGGATGCAGAACAGGGGTCTCATTTATAAAACTGTACGTAGAAACTTCACTGAAAGTGTACGTGCTTCCAAAAGCCAAAAATGGAATACAGCAAAAAATATTCAGACTTATAAAACCGTGCGTATGCACACTTGTAAGCAAGTTCCCTTTATAAATTAAAATCAACTTGAAATGTGGCGTATGTGAGGCGCCATGTCCGATCCCATCAAACACCTACAATTGCCTATAAATGGTCAGTGGAATTAATATTAATACGCACTGACTGTGGGAAGAAAAGGAGGCAAACTCTGAAAGAGAAGCTACAAAATGAGACGTCACACACACTACTTACTTGTGTAGTACTGCAGAGTGCAGTATCTACTAGAGTCAAAGAGCACATCTGTGGTCCTGTTTTTTATCTATAAAAAATGTCTTCCTAAGAAGGTATTGCATGAATGCATTACCACTGATCTAACCGCAACATGTTTGACTGGCTAGTCTTAAATCTTTAAAGGCATTTTTCTCAGTTTCAGTGTTTGCGTAGTTACTGCACTTAGCCTTTACAGAACAGTATGCACTAGTATTTGCTCGACTGACGGCATCATTTTAAATGCAATTTGTCCTCCTGTTCACCTTATTTATGAGAATAAATTTTACTGCATACAAGTAATTAATATGATTCCTGATTAAACTGTACAACATATGAGGTGTTCTTTTGCAGAAACAGATATCTCCGTTTATGTTTATTATCCTCAGTCATGGTTCTTTTTGTGCGCCGCAAATTATCTTAAATTATGTTTTTTTATAGCGAACTTCAGGGAAAATCAATCAAACAAGTGTCTGATTATTTAGATAGGCTTTAAGCCTATACTACTCAGAGGTAATATTTCGATTTATTTTACACAGTAGTTGGCCTATTCATTTCAAACAGTTTCATCCTTCTGCCATGTGAGTCGCCGTTTCTCATTTCTGCTCTTTATGTGCGTACGCGTGGTTCTGAGTTTACTTACAGGATGCACATTTCCAATATCTTCAACAAGTTTGTTTTTTATAGATCACAACCTTTGCTAGGGAAGTGGCGTTAGTTGTTGCCACCTATATTGTAATAATATTTATTTCTACTTACTGTATTGTCCTCTTCTGTGTTACTTTCTTAGACCGATCATGTGTTTTGCCTGCAACTTCTTAATTATTAGCTAGTAAACAAAATACGTCAGATGTGATACCGTAAAAAACAGAAGTTTAAATGGCTTGATAATAAAGAAAAGCTCAAGTACTGTGCTATCACAGTATCGATAATCCTTACGCCTTTTCTTTAACAGCTGTTTATGCAGTGTTTTGTAGGAAGTCTATTCAGCATGATAACCATCAGAATATGTAAAATACTAGGTTATAGGATTTCTTGTCCTTCCTCTATCATATGGAAGGTTGAATACCATGTTAGAATACATAGGATTAACCATTACGAGTGACACACACAAACACACCCCATGATGAAAGATCAAAAATACAGAAGATAGCCTACAGTAGCCTATCATATACCACATACGCTCTCCTCGCATTTAAGGGGAGACACGCAAAACTTCCTATGGATAGCCTAACAGATAAAACGGTCTCGTGTCTTAATAGGATTCTACTATATGTTTATAGACATTGATTGCGCTATAAGGAGTTTTAACAATTCATTCAAGCACACTGTTTTAGGCTAATGCAAGCTACTAACACAGTAGCCTATTTTATATTATAAATGAAAAGAAAGAAAATAAAAAAACACGATGTAGGCTAGTTATAAATAGGCCTAAATATTTGGACTTTGTGCATGTGTAACCCAGGTTAAAATTCCCTGGTCCCATTTTTTTTCTCAGTCACCTGAACACACCACCAGACACACCCTTGAGTCACATGGTAGTTTCAGTGAACGCTTTCAACCTATCATAGCGGTCGAGCGCGTTTTACAAGCCGAGGTGAGTTTCCCCAATCAGTAGTGTGAGGGGGAAACCACCGGAGTAGCTGCACTCGGTATGTCTCTACACAAACAATGGTCTTTTTGCTTATTTTCCATCTTAAATGCTCGTTTGACTCTAGAATGCGATTGTGTATTTGTAGTGCCCACTACCGTGGTCTTTAGAAGCCGCAGTGTGTTGAATATCTGTGGGAATTGGTGAGTCTGTTTGTTGTTGTGTCCACTGGCATGTTGCTAATAGCATTAGCCATGCTATCTATTATGTTGAAGTTTCTGCTAGCTCAATGCTAACAGCCTTAGCCATCTCAATGTAATTCAAGGGGCTGTGGTGGCTGGTAGCATTAGCAATGCTAGTAGCATTTGCTTTCCATAGCTCCTATGGAGTTTTTATTGGGTTCAATGAATGATAATGCAAACCTAGCGCTTTGTTTTCAATGCTATAGCTTTAAGTATTTAAATGCTTTATTTACATACTAAGTGACAAAATTATCAATTGTATTGACTGGAATGTTATGTTGTAAATAACCCTAACATTTCTGGGTGTTACATGCATTTAAGTACTTTTGTACAAGTTGTCATGTAACAATTACTTATGCCATGCTATTGTGTACACATAAAACATAAAACTAGCTAATAGATAAACTAAATAATGAGGAGTGATTAAACCATGGGTACTGTTTATTTAATACAGGCCAGGTGAGGCCAGTTGCGGGTCAGTTGATGGTGAGCTGCTACTACTACCTGGAACAGAACCTGCCCCAATAAACTCATCGCCCCCTGTAGGGTCTGGTAGGAGGCTGTTGCAGCTTTGCTCACCCCCTCCACTCTCATTCACACACACGGCCATTCAGTAAGCCTTGGCTTATGGACTATTTGCGTTCCACGGATCATTCTCGTCATTTGGACGTAGCGTTCATCTTTCATGAACAAAAGAAAATGTCCTATAGTGTGTTGTGACTGTCCTTAAATCTGAGTACTCCTCAATTTGTTGCTGTATTGTTTCTGTGAACTACTGAGTCAACGGAACTGAATTTCCTCAAGTGCACTCTATCAAAACCAACGTTTCTGCAGATTGTAAATATTTTGGGGGTGGTTGTTTGTTTTTTTTTTTGTCCTTGTTTCCACATAAAATATGGTACCAACACCAAATATAATTATCGGCCTCAGTCTCATTATTTGCCTTTTCAACACCTCCTTCAGTCAAAACCTTATCTTCTGTAACCACGCCTATATGCTACACATGCTATCTGTTCATTTAGCCTATTTCACATCCTTGGAGTCAAATAAGAATGAAAAGAATAATCACTCACGCAACTGAAACATTTTGTTAATTGCCATTATTTAGGCTACTAGAAGGCAGTTTAGTAGCTAACGGTTAAGAAAACACAAACCTGTAGGCTATAACTTCAGGAATAAAATAAAGCTCCTCTCTGTGAACAGTTTTGCCTCATATTAGGCTAAAGTATAGGAAGAAATAAAACATCGGCGGATCTACATAATCACGCTTTCATGTTAAGCAGACAGTCTTTTGATAGGAGGCAATCACATTTGCCAAGAAACCCCACCCCGCTACATTGGACATGTTAATAAAATGGACAAATTATTAACATTGTTTTTAATGCACAGTTAACAGGAAGGATTCTAAATGTAGGTCTTATTTATTTTTTTCACTGCCTGATGGGTCCTGTAGGCTATGACGGGGGGAAATAAAATAAGCTACTTGAGCACAAGTTTCTCATAGGTAAAGAAGAAGGGAGTGAATTCAGTTTTATCCTGCGACACCTGTGAGTCGCTTTTTCTCCTAGCTGTGTAAGACCCTATATTACTCCAATAAAATAAATGCTCTTTTTCTCCTCCGTCAATGTGGCAGGTTACAGCAATAGTCAGCCTTAAGAGTCACACAAGAATGCAAAATAATCACACACGCATTTGAAACATTTTGTTACTGAGAAAGTTTAATTGCCATCATATTTACTATAAGACAGCTTAGCCACGCAGGAGCATGCAACGATAACCTTTACTTACTACTCCTGTTTGATTTTATTACTGTATTATTGTGTCAATGACACGTCCAGTGCAATGGGAATATTCTTTCTAGAGCCCGACCGATTTATCGTTTTGCAGATATTATTGGCCGATATAAGCTAGTTGCAGATGTATCTGCATCTGTGTTTATAAGAGTCGATATGATTATTAAAAAAGAGAAACAGAGTAGGATTCTTCCCTCATGTCATGTTGCTTAGTTTGCCCACCAGAGGGCACGCTGCAGCACCACAGAACAAAACATCAGCTGACCACATTCTGCCAGAGCTCAGAGCGGCTCTGCCGGAGCCACGGTGAGGAGCTCCCTAGCTTCTGGTAGCGCTCACACTCAGTGCTCCCGGGGAGTTGTTAATTTGTCACGTCAATTACATGACATAAATAATAATCACAGCACTCATCACTTCTCTCCTGAAAACATTCATACCAGACCTCCCGTTTTTCACTGCACTCTCCCGGGTCACAGCAAGATGTTTCATGTTACAGTAGGCGAGTAGTGGAGGCTAACGTTACGCTGACACACGTGATTTTAGATTTATTCTGAAACAGTGAGGCACTTCTAGTGAACGGTCCTCATTTCTCCCTACTTACTGTAAATATTATTTACATAATCAGTGGAGGCGTGCTAATATTAATGACGATTAAACTATAGTTTGACATATTCTAAATATATCTGCGAGTTGCTTGTCTCTAGTTACAGTCGATATGTCAGAAATGATTAAACCAGAGCGGACTTCAGAATAAGAATCAGCTTTATTTTAAGGAATTTGACTCTGGATTGTACAATGAGATCTATTTCATTATGTCGTTTTATGCGTTAAACACTTACACACACTAATTTTGATGTGTTCTGAGAAAGTCTCTCGTTGTTTTTTTCAGTCCACTAATTTTGTTGTTCAGCAGTGAACGTACCCTTTCTGCCTCTGAGAAAAGACTCCAGGTGCATAAAAGGATTATTCTCACAGGAAAAATCTAGCAGTTGTGGAAAATAAATGGTCTCACACAGAGGTTTTAACTCTTTGAAGGAATAACTGCAGGAAAGTGTGCGGCCACTTGCAGTACAGCAGCAGCAGCATGTGCGCAGCTACTAGGCATATAATCTTTAACGGGGCAGCATCGAAGGTTAATGAACAGGGCTGGACTGGTAATCTGGCGTACCGGGCAAATGCCCAGTGGCCCGACGCACCTTTGGGGCCGGTATAATGTGAATTATTTATTTATATAACTGTTTTAAAAAAAATAAATGGGCCAACGATCGGCCCATAAAACATGGACAGCGGCCCGTTGGGTAATTTTCTATACTGACACTGGGCCGGCCCAATGACATCTCTTACTAGCCCCCACCCCCTCTGCTCTCTGTTTCTTGCGTTACGCCCCCCCCCCCCCAAAACGAAAATCTTCAGACGGCTGCCGCCAAATGCGCAGGTGTAAAGTCCCAGATAATCAGAGAGACAGAAAAAACAGAAACCTGGCTCTCAGAGTTTGTTTCAAAACTATCATATTAAAGAGTTTGGGCTTTAAAAACATTGACAAAGATTTTTAAAGTGGTGAAGGTGGGTTTTATTTTTATAGCTGGCCTATCCTTGAACAATTTCTTAATCATACCTCCTGCCTTCTGTATGCAAAGGTCTTGTCCATCATTGCTGCCACCTGGTGCTTGTCTTTTCCTTACTTCTATGAGGAGGTCAACTCTATATATCCTAGTGTCTCAGCTGTTTCACCTGCTGGATAGGTGGGGCAGGGTTTTAAACAAAAATAACATATTTAGTATCAGGATTCAACAAAGCTCCAGTTTCTTTGAAAGCAGTGTTAGCCCTGTCCAGCTGTAGCTGAGTATCAGAAGCAAACAGGGGCATGGGGAAGACAATGGGCCATGCAGTGGATCTCGAGGAGGTGGACTCAAAACAACACAAATCTGAAGGATTGCGCCAAAGTTGGCCAGCCGCTTGTAGACCCATGAGCAACTATTGTCCCATTTCTGAAATTTACACCTTTGCTCGACTGGTCAACTTCTGTTGTACCAGGGAAGTATGTAGTCTGAGCTATTATTTTAAATCATTCAGAGGGACTGTTAAGAATTTTGTAACCTCCTAGGGAAGTTTTTTCAAAACTGAGTATCTCAAAAGCTGATGTTTAGAAGCAAGTGAGAGGGGCACGTTTTTAAAGCAATTGGCGTGTCGCATAACCTGCTTTAAAAAACTGTGTTTGGCCTCACAGAGTCCCACAAGACGTCCAAACATCCTTATCAGGATAGTGCTCTAAATAATGTTTTGGGAGCAGTTGCACATCAGGGAAGAGTTCTTAATACTTTCGTTTGTGCTCTGAAAATTTGCCCTTAAGATAGGTAATGGACAAATCTGTGTGTGTTGGAACAACCACAAGCTCTACAATGTTGCTGAATTTCACCCTCAGGCACCAGATGCCCAATTATGAATGAGTAGTCTTAACAGAGCCCAATTTTTATGGCGTTACAACCTTTTGTCCTAGTTGAAAATGTGTGTCTTGTCTGCCCACGTGTAAGGGAAATGCAGGATAGATTTGTTGAGGGTTTCAAGATAGAGGGGTTATGAGTCTGCAGCCATCTGGCCCTGAAACTACCACAATGATGGCTAACCTTTCACCAGCTTCAGCTCCTGAGCTGATTAGAGACGGATTCCCAGCCTGCTGGTGCATCGGCTGCTAGCTACGTCTACTTCCCTGCCTGCCCGTCAGCCTGCCAACCCCCGCACAAGAAACGGGGTCACCTTCCTATTAACCTTCGGTAAAGCCTTCCAGAAGGAGACGTGGATTTCACCATCATTGTGCCTCTCTGTGATCCAGCTCCACTGAGTCACTGCTGCCCAGTTTTTCATCCTCTAATTCTCTACCCCAGAGTAGCACAGAGGTGGCCTCTCCTGCCCTCTCTGTGGTTTATAGTCTGCATGTTTCCTCCCATCTTTGTGAGACTGTCTCATTCCCTTCATTCAGTGTCAAGCTTCCCTCCCTGTTTCCCAGTGTTATGTTGGATTACCGTGGATTTAGTATTTTGGTTCTTGCCTGCCTTCTCTGTGTGGACTATTGCTTTTTTTAAATTTTTTTTAAGATAGGTAATGGACTAATCTGGGGGATTGGGGATTATGGGTCGTGCATTTTGGACTGCCTTCTTTGCCTCTGCTTTTAAATCATTAACTTTTTGTAAATAAACTCGGAATCTGCTCAGCCATGGTGTCTGCGCTCTGGTTTCCTGTGTTTAAAGAGGTGGTATTATGCTCATTTTCAGGTTCAAAATGTTAGAGGTTGTACCAGAACAGGTTTACATGATTTAATTTTCAAAAAACACCATATTTTTTTCATACTGCACATTGCTGCAGCTGTACGATCTGCTCTTGAGCTACAGAGTGATGCATCTTACTTGTACAAAATCTTTGTTGGGAGTTGCACATGTGCAGTTCCCAGGTAAGGACTACTAGCCTATCAGAAGCAGAGAAGGGCGGGTCGTAAGAAACAAGGTAGTGTGATCCAAATCAAAGCTGCTTCAGACTGCGACCGTAACCTAGCAGATGGTAGAAGTTACTCACAAGTCCACAACATCATTGTTCCACATCTGACCATAAACCACTAAAAAATCACCATATTTCAACTCAATTTTACATAAAAATTGGCCAAACAATTTGAACGTTTGCTCAGTAGCTTTCACATCAGGTGTAACATTAGCATTATAGCTATAACTAGCTGTATTAGCCAACGTTTACAACAACTCCGCACTTCAACAGTCTGTGAAGTTACATTGCCGTGTTTATTTTAAATATAGTTCACAACCAATAAAGAATACTTTCAGGTTGTGATTGTGAATTTCCAGAGTTGCATCGTCTTTTAGGACTAAATGTTGAACTGTTGCCGGTGTTTCTGACGATCTATGCTGCCTTGCCGAAAAATGCTACCATAGCGCAAATCGATAGACTCGACTCTGCTCGGCCCTGCTCCGTTTCCATTGCAGATAGCACCCAGAGGAAGTACGTAGCTTGTTGTCATAGCGACGCCACACACAACTGCCGCGACGTAATGTTCAATGCGACACACACACCAGCGATCCACACAGCTTTCTCTTTTTTAAGTTGAAACGTTTCAACCTTCCTCAGAATGTAAAGACAGATAAGCGGTATGAAAAGCTTCCAGCTGTGTTTTCCTCTGCCGTTGTTGCTGCAGCGGTCTGTGTGACGGCGGGAGCAGAGCGCTCTGTGAGCGGGCGGCTGGCCGGCCTCACACGCTCCTCCCGCGGGTCACAGCAGGCTTCCCCCGCAGCCACTTGCTGAGCTCCTCAACTCCGAAAATATTCAAGCACATTTTTGTTCTGCCATCACTTCTCTAAAACTGTCAATATTGGAAATCTACACAGCTGATTTCTCACCTCAAAACTTCTCAGAAGTGGATTTAGTGATGAAATTCCATATGGAAACTGTAACATATAAAACTTTCTGTTGCTGGCCTCTGTCTGGTGCAGCAATGATGATGCAGTGAATAGTGAATATTCTCTCTGACCAATCAGCAGTCTGTCTGTTTTCACGTTACATTTTAGTTTCCCTCAGCTCGCTTGGAACCTCGACGGAGGTGAGGTTATATGAAAAAAAGTACCTGGAAGCAGGTACAGGTCCAACATTTCTACAATGGAAACCCAAACAAAGGCGAGTCGAGCCAAAGGGCCTCCGCTCAGACTAGCTTGGTTTGAGGGCGTGCCTGACCCGCTAGCCGCTTGGCAAGCTTTATGACCCCGTTTTCATTGTGACGTCAAAAGTAAAGGAAGTGAAGGGCTGGACAACAAACGAGCTGTTATGAAGCGGTTCAGAGCAGAACTTTCTGTGGGAGATGGGAACTACCTTTGGGCTGGACTTTGGGCTTTTTCACTTTGCAAACCTGTTACATGCACAAAAAAGAGATATAACTCAATAAAGGAGAGGGGAAAAGCCAAAAAGCAGAATACCACCTCTTTAAGTTTGACAGAAACATTACAAAAAGACTGTGGCAAAGGAAGTTGCGATTGATTTAGTCAGCCACCAATGAAAGATCTGCTGCTGTCTGGTGGAGTGTGAAGAGAAGAAACGGCAACAGACTTCTGATATCTGTTTATTACTGAAAGAACAGACAGGAGGCAAAAGGCAAATACAGATACATTATTTGGATCTAAACATCATGTACTTTAAACAAAACGGCTGGATTAACCCCAGAACCTGAGGGTCTGTTGCTGAGATAACTCAGAGGTGACCGAAGCTCAGATGCTGAATGTGGAGGAATCATACAATCATACAGAGAGCTGATATCCAGGTTTCTCTCATTTTCTATGTAAAGGACATGCTGAATGTGAACATGTCTTTCTCTTCAGTCATTTACCTTTTCAAACTGTAAATATTCTAGCACCCCTTAAAATCACTGTCTTCAAAAAATGTGCAAAGAACTAAACAAAAATAAAAACACATGCCTAACAAGTACTGAAAAGCACTAATGTCTGAGACTTGGACAGTCCCAGAGTTGGGATCACTGCCAGATGTCGTGGTATGCTATACTCCCACAGATTCATATGCACTATGTATTAAACTCAATAATATCATCAACATGAATTATCTTAGAAGTAATGGTGATGTTTGAAGGTGCCCACATCCCCAAATGGACTCCTGTGGAGAGAGAGACAGAGAGATTTTTCATTGATTATTAACATTTAATAATTTTGGTGACATCTGAAATTGAACCTGCACACTGAGATTTCAGGCACTACAAACTGAAGAACTGAACCCCACAAGTGTCTATAGTGGTCCTGATCACCCGAACACCCAAAACTGTTACAGCACTTCTTTCCAAATATTAATCAGGGGAAACCCAATGATTTAATTAACAAAAGATGCCATTCTGGACAACTGAACAAATCAAACCAAAACATTATTGTTTATACACTTTTCTGCCGTCCCTTTCTGGTAACATTTACCAGAGACTTTCAACTGCTCACGCTATTCCACCGCTCTTTATCGAACCTGGAACTTCTCGAAGTTATTAGTTGGAGGAGCAGCAGCTCTGTACAGGATCTATAAGGGACGCCGAAGGGGGAAGCGTGCCTGCGCACTGGTTAAACTTAGACAGTGGGGTTTTCACACTGTGCTCCCTTTGATCCACCTGCCGAATGTCTGCTCTCTGGTCAACAAAATGAACAAACTGCTTCTCCTCAACAGAACTAACTCAGACTTCTGCCTATCTGCCGCCCTCTGTTTTACAGAATCCTGGCTCACTGAGCACGTCCTGGACAGTGCATTTTACCTGCTGGGATTTCCCTGAACTCAGGGAAGCCCAGACTCTTGACATTTTTAAAGCTCTTCTCAAGACACACTTTTTTTTAAACTTGCATCTTTTTATGATTGTTTTATAGTTAGTTTTATTATTAATGTTGTTGTTTTTGGCAACACGTTGCTGACCTACTGCGGTAAGCGTAATGTAATAAGTGTAGTGTATTTGTAGACATGGAGGCGAGGCTCAGTGATTTAGAAGTCCGGCTCCGCACCTTGGTAGATCAGTCTTTAGCTACTGCAGCTACCAAGTCCACGGTAGTCGGTGCGGAACGGCCTGAGTTAGCCTGTGGTAGCCGTCCCCCGGCATCTCCTGTGCAGCCAGGAAGGGGTGGCTGGGTGTCTGTCCGAAGGAGGAATAGTCGTAAGCATTCAAAGCCCACGGGGCATCATCAACCTGTACAGATTTTCCCCACTCAGCGACTCATCCGCTGAGAAACCAACTCTGATCATTGGTAGCTCCATTTGTGTGCATCCCTGGGGCCAGAGCGGGCGGCATTGAGTCTTATTTGAAACTACTGGCTAAGGATAAACGTAAATACAGTAAGATTGTTATTCACGTCGGCGGTAATGACTCCCGGTTACGCCAATCGGAGGTCACTAAGATTAATGTTGCGTCGGTGTGTACATATGCAAAAACAATGTCGGACACCGTAGTTTTCTCTGGACCCCTGCCAAATCTGACCAGTGATGACATGTATAGCCGCATGTCGTCATTCCGCCGCTGGTTGTCGAGGTGGTGTCCAGCAAACGATGTGGGCTTTGTTGATCATTGGCAGACTTTCTGGGGAATACCTGGTCTGATCCGGAGAGACGGCATCCATCCCACTTGGGAAGGAGCAGCTCTCATTTCTAGAAATCTGGCCAAGTTTATTAGTGGACCAAATCCATGACAACCCAGAGTTGAGACCAGGAGGCAGAGTCGCAGTCTAACACACTTCTCTGCCCTTCTTTTTCAGCAGTTACCCACCCAAAACCCTACGCAGAGTCGCAGTCTAACACACTTCTCTGCTCCTCCATTTCAGGAGTTACTTAGTGAAAATCCTACAGTGACGGTGTCTGCCCCCCGACCATCGAAATTATTTAAAAAGGTAAACAGAAGAGGAGCTGTGCATAAAAACCTCATAAAAATTAAAACCACAAGAGCAATAGTGCAAATGAATAGGAGAGTTAAATGTGGACTCTTAAACATCAGATCTCTCTCTTCTAAAGGTGTACTAGTAAATGAACTAATATCAGATTATGATATTGATTTATTTTGTCTTACTGAAACCTGGCTGTGTGATGGAGAATATGTTAGCCTAAATGAATCCCCCCCTCCCAGTCATATTAATACTCACATTCCTCAAGGCACAGGCCGAGGAGGTGGAGTTGCAGCTATCTTCGACTCTAGCCTACTAATCAGCTCTAAACCTAAACTAAATTACAACTCATTTGAAAGTCTTGTTCTTAGTCTTTCACACCCAAGTTGGAAATCACTGCAACCAATTCTCTTCGTTATAGTGTACCGAGCACCTGGCCTGTATTCGGAATTCTTATCTGAATTTGCAGAGTTTTTGTCAACTTTAGTCCTTAAAACGGACAAAGTTATTATTGTAGGGGATTTTAATATTCATGTGGACGTTGAGAATGACAGCTTTAGTACTGCGTTTATCTCTCGTTAGATTCCATTGTTTTAACCACACCCTCGACCTTGTTTTGGTGAATGGTATTGAAATTGAACATTTAGTGGTGTTCCCACAGAATCCCTCTTCATCTGACCACTGTTTGATAACTTTTGAGTTGGTATTGCTGAACTAGACGCCCCCAACCGGTCGAGGCAGATGGCCGCCCACCCTGAGTCATGGTTCTGCTCGAGGTTTCTGCCTCTTAAAGGAAGTTTTTCCTTGCCTCTGTCGCCTAGTACTTGCTCTTGGTGGGAATTGTTGGGCTTCTATAAATAGCATCATAGAGTACGGTCTAGACCTGCTCTTTTATGAAAAGCGCTGTGAGATAACTGTTGTTGTGATTTGGCGCTATATAAATAAAATTGAATTGAATTGTCTGATTCTAAATTTAAGGATGCGACTCCAGCAAATTTCAAGGACCGCCTTTTTTCACCTACGTAATATTGCGAAAATCAGGAACTTCCTGTCTAAAAATGATGCAGAAAAACTAGTCCATGCATTTGTTACTTCTAGGCTGGATTACTGCAATTCCTTATTATCAGGCTGCTCGAAAAAGTCCATTAAGACTCTTCAGTTGATCCAGAATGCTGCAGCACGTGTTCTGACAGGAACCAGGAAAAGAGATCATATTTCTCCTGTCTTAGCTTCTTTGCATTGGCTTCCAGTAAAATCCAGAATAGAATTTAAAATCATTCTTCTTACCTACAAAGCTCTTAATGGTCAGACACCATCTTATCTTAAAGAGCTCATAGTACCTTACTACCCCACCAGAGCACTGCGCTCCCAGAATGCAGGGTTACTTGTGGTTCCTAGAGTCTCCAAAAGTTCTTCTTACCTACAAAGCTCTTAATGGTCAGACACCATCTTATCTTAAAGAGCTCATAGTACCTTACTACCCCACCAGAGCACTGCGCTCCCAGAATGCAGGGTTACTTGTGGTTCCTAGAGTCTCCAAAAGTAGACTAGGAGCCAGAGCGTACAGCTATCAAGCTCCTCTCCTGTGGAACCAGGTTCCACAGGAGATGAGGGTCTCAGCTACAGAGTTGGAGAGGCACTGTCGGAGCCTGGAGTTGTTCTTAAGATGGTAAAAGGCAGTTTTAGTAGTGTTTTTGATGTGCTGTTGGAAGGAGAAGGTGAAGTCCATGATGACGCCCAGGTTGTGTACTTGAGGGGATGCAGAGATTGTGATAGTTGCTATTTGGAATATACTGTAACTAGCAAGTATCTCGTCCCTGTCAGTGATACAGAGACAGATCCTGACGAAATGCAGACTCAGTGTCTACAGTCTATCCATGGAGAAAGGAGGACACAAGAAGTCCTAGCTGCCAACACGTGAAAGAGTCTGTTGTCACTGCAGGACAGTTGAAAGCCTCTTTTGTAGGGGTGGCTGGCAGGCGCTGTGGTCAGAAGCTCCTGGCCTGTTGTGGGGTAACTTAAGAACGCACTGCTGGACACCGGTGGTGAAGGAAGTCGTCAAGTTGAGGAAGGAGGCCTTTTGGGCTTGGTTGGCTGAGGCGTCTCCTAAAGCAGGTACCAGGAGGCCAGAGGAGCTGCAGCTTGGTTGCTGGAGCAAAAACCCAAGTGTGGGAGGAGTTCGGATATGGAGAATGACTTTCAATTGGCCTCAAGGAAGTTCTGGCAAACCGATCAGCTCAGGAAGAGGTTTTAGGACAACTGACTGCTGACTGACATTTTTTGACGACTGTTGTAGAATATGACTTATAATATTATTGAGTATAAATTAAGTGAAAACCCACTGTTAACGTGTCAAAGAGAAGAAAAAGACAGCTCCCAAAAAAACAAGTTCATGGCTAGTTAAATGTGCACAGTGCAGCTGATACGAATCGCCTCTATCCTGATTGACTGGTCATTGTGGTAGTCACTTCTGAATCACGGTAGCCCCGTACTAAAACATACCCTGTCTATTTTCCTCTAAATGGGACCATAATTTACTAAATGAACTTCATGATGTGTTGAGGAAGACTTCAAACAATCAAGTGAGAAGTAGGCTTATTTTCTAATAAGCATTCATACCGTCTGACTTATTTTTGCAATGATCACACTAAAGAATCCATGTAAATCCTCTGCCAGTTGTGCTATGGCCTTTCCTACTGCGCTCCCCCAAAACGTTTCAAAGGTTCTGATGAAACGGTGTACTCCAAACCATCCAGTCTGAATTTCATTGCAACACTCAAAGCTGCCTTAAACCTAATTTAAAACTCCACTGACAAAAGTTAACAGGTTCATGTTTTGCTGTATTGAGTAATTTTTAGGTAGAAATGGCACCACTCACAAATACATGGAATTTCCTGTGGCTGTTTCACAATAAAAGCCACTCTGTGGTTTGGTTTTAATATGAAGCAGCAGCAGTAGCACCTCACATCAGTCACTGCCTTCATGGGCTTTCAAACATTACTGATAATGAATTCCACACCTCACTGCATTTACTATTACTTTAATACATTTCAGTTTCTTATTGTTAAGTTTGGCATGTGGCGTACTTCTTTTTTGTGGCCTGGGAGTTACTCATAACAAACTAACAAACAAAGATAGCACAGCTTTTGTCTGTTTTTAAGTGAATTAATGTGCATTATTCTATTGTTATTTATTAAATCTACTTTAGTTGAGTGCTTAGTTGTTTGTAATGCCAAACGCCCTTAATAAGGAGACCAGTCTAGGAGTGATCCCCTGGTAGTATTAGCGTCTTTCCTTATGGGTTTCATCGGATGGGATTTGTAGTGTCCCTTTTCCCCCTTCCCCCCAAAATTTGCACTTGAGTGGTTTTGGGTTGGTTAGCAGCCTGCCACGCTTCATGAAGACTGGGGCTGAGTTACATAGTTGGATTTTAGGTTAAGTAGCGGGAAGCTCCATTTGCCTGTGTTTTCTCTGGTTTTTAGGGAAAACGCATTAATTCTCTCTGTGATTATGTATCCTCACCAAAACTGCCCGCCAACAATAATATCTGGACCATGGTCAGATTATGGTATTTTGATAGATGAAAGTGTGAGAAGCTTGTTTACTGTAATGATGTAGTTGGAGTTGAACTGAGCTTTTACTTTGAAAAATTCTGAACAACATTAAAAGAGTCTGTAGCCTGCTTGACACATCTCTGAAGCCGTCAGAGAACGTGATTCCCCTAAATGTCCTTTGCCTGGAGATACTAGGGAAATGCAAAAGCGTCTGTAGGTTGATGGATGTGGATCAAACACTGAAACAAAAACAGTGCAGCACATGCCTTGACTTGAGAAACATTCGCTTCAGAATCCATTTGTTGAAGAGAGGGAAAAAAAGTCTTGAGGTTGTTAGCCCTGCACCTTACCAACTGCGCTAACTGAACAACATGGCAATGCATATCAATATTATGGCTTATATTCTCATCCACGATCTAACGGTTGAAAATATTGCTCTGATGTAAAACTTATTGCAGACCCCTGCAGAATATTATTACTACTTCTTGTTTTTCTAACATACGTATTCAACATAGTGATGAGTGTCTGCAGTGCCTGGCTTCTACCAGAAGTAGAACAAGAATAACTTAGTGACGAAAAGCGCTCTGTAGCGCTTTTTGTTCGTTTTCAGCTACTGTAGAACCATGATGATGCAACGTGGCGACGTCCATGGAAGGGGGGGCCTGCGGTTATGTAGATATAAATGGCTCAATCTAAGGTAATAAAAACATAATGGCTTATTATGTAAGGTCTTTACACACCACTGAAAACATAGTTATGGATCTCATATAACATTTCTGTCAATAGATCCTCAGAAATATTACACACTGAATCTTTAACTACTCAAGACAATTCCTGAGGTTCACTGAGGATGTTTTACCTGACTGACTGGGCTGGTTACAGTGGGACACAGAGGCTAAGGGACTGGTTACAGTGGGACACAGAATCTGGGGGGCTGGTTACAGTGAAACAGAAAGGGACTGGTAAATTTCATTGTCAACACTTACTGTGGTCACTGTATAATGTCAGCCAGCTTCTCGTGGTAATACTCGTAGTTTTCTTTGCAGTCCTCCCACAGGTTCAGAGGTTGTTCCTCGCTCTCCACAAATGTGTCCCAGGTATAGGAGAAGTCCAGAGGCTTCATCACCCTCAGCTTACACCCAGCAGCGTGCAGGGCCTTCAGCCCGGCCTGGATCTCTGTATCCTCCCACTCAAACAGCCGAGCAGCAAAGATGCTCAGCTTGACGTTTTTCCTGGCCTTTAACACTTCAGCTATTTTTGCTGCACAAGCAGAGCAGGGGCTGGAAGACACATACCTGAGTGGAAGGTGGCAGAATGAAATACTTGTAATTTTCCAATAAGTGCATTAATATAGATATTGCACAGCGCTGAATGCGCCTGCTATGTGAAAAATGTCAAAAACACAACTTCATAACTTTATTCTCTGGTTATACTGAAACTCAGCTAACTGCTGCTAACAGTAGCTGCCGCTAGCAACTGAGTTAGCCATGCAGCTAGCCGTCCTATTGCTGATTCAGCTGGGACTGGGGGTGTGTTGGTGTTTACACCTCTAACATTAATATAGAAGCTCTGGACCGATGGTTCAGAGCCAGCTGATAACAGCAGCTAGAGTTAGCAGCAGCAAGCGGTTACTGTAGTGTGAGCAACAAGTAAAGCTTTCCATCAGGAGAATTCAGTGCTCTTTAAGGGGGCTTTCACATTTACCTCGTTTGGTCCAGACTTTCGGACTTTTCAGTTCAGTCTGAACCAAAAATACAGGTGTGAAACCTCCCCCAGACCATAGTCCGGAACAAACGAAATTTGGTCCGACGAGAAAAGGTAGTCTCGGTCCGGATCAAACTGAACCATGGTTCGGTTCGTTTCTGGTGTGAAAGCATTTTTTGGATGGTTTGAACTTTCAGGCCATTTACAGGAAGTTCGGTGTTTGCCGTATAAACCGGAAACAAGCAAATGCACGGGGAAATGCATTGAAAAACAGCTCATCTTTTCAAACAGAGGGCCATTATAGAAGCACACTGCCACCCATCTCTCTCTCATCAAACGGAGGTGCAGAAGGATTGCTTGGGGTATTCTCCTCCTGTCCTGTCGACGACGTTATAATGTTCGCACAACGAGGATGTTTAATTTGAACTAGCCTTCAGTATAGCTGGTGCTGTAGGTAGTAATGCCATAACATGAGAAATTGCAGTAATCCAGCCTAGAAGTAACTGGATGGACTAGTTTTTCTGCATCACTTTTTGACAGAATGTTCCTGATTTCTGCAATATTATGTAGGTGAAAAAAGGTGGTCCTTAATGTGAGAGTTAAAGGACTCTCCTTCATAACCATAAAAGTACTTTCTGTGAGTCACACTGAACAACCTCCAGCTCCATGAGCTTGAGACCGTTTCTATGGAACATGAGCTGATCGATGTAAATGTTGGGGGTGTAAATATTAATGATCCCCGATGTTTTTCCAGTCCTTTTGCATGGACGAGATTTACATATGAAGGAGGACACAATAGCATTTGAGGCTCACAGTATGTCAGTTAGATGTACTCTTCTTATTCAACTATGCCAAGGGAAATACAGCTTTCCATTCTAAGGCCCCTTTAAGGTAGGTAAAGGGGACACTGCAATCCAGGAGCCAGCAGAGGGTCACGGCAGAGGGTCACTGCAATATCAATGTAATTTGATTGTCCAAGTTTGTTTAGCTTTGAATTTTTTGTACAATTAATACTTCTGTGTGTATTACAACAGAGGCATAATACATTTCATATGCATTTCTACATAATGTATAACCATGAAGAGAGATTTTGAGTTTTATATATTGTTAATCAGGTCTGACATTTGTTAAGTTTACAGTTTAGACACAACAGGTTTGTTGGGGATGATATTTGACCTGTTAGCTTCATTTGTACATTAAAGAGCAGAGCTCCGTGCAGAATGGAGTGACGAACATGTCTTTACAAATGCCAGTGAGAAAATATTAGAAACAAAGAATAGAAATAATATAAAGAAGGAAAATACTGTCCAGACTGAAAATCTTTAAATCTGTCACATTCTCTATAACACATACCATCTTACAGTTAAAGAGAGGTATGTACCAGGTGACTGTGTATTTGAGTGCAGGGTCGCAGTGTGGCAAGCACTGTATGAAAAATGCCTCCTCAGCATGAGACCCGGAATGCTCATCCTCCAGGTAGCCCCTCAGCAGCCCATCAGCTGTGTTCCCTTTATCCACCAGGTAACACAGGAAGGTCTTGTTGCGGCCCGAGGAGTATTCCACATTCTTGAACTGGAACTTAAAGGCAAAAGGATCAATCCGGTCCCTGTGTACAACAGAAGAAATGAAAGAACGTTGGCATTTTAGTTTTCACACTCTAACATGATCCAAATCTTATATGGGACTGTTTAATCATATCTGATATTGTCTGTTCGTTTTCACTTCTCTGTGTTGTGCAGTGGGGCCAGTGCTCCTGTGACAACAAGCCCTTCTATTATTCAGACTATCTATAGTTATCATTTGACAGTTTTTTTTCTGATTGCTTTTCACAAACACTTGGCTAGTTTTGCAAAACAAAAACAAGCAAACCATTCTTGCAAAACTTCAAAACTCTTTTAAAAAATTGTGTTTTTGCATCAACACAGTACAGACAAATGTCTACTACGCACTGATTGTAAAAGTGAAAAACACTTGCGTCTTTTGCGTTTTCTGTGGGTAGGCCATATCAGTATGCAATAAAGTTTAGTCATGCATGTAGTACAGTAAAACTCACATACACACATGTGCCCAAATGTATAAAGTGTGAATGTGTGTTCCTCACTTGTTTTACATTGAGTTAATTTTGTATAGCAGCTTCACCCAGTGCAGATCGACTCACTTTGCTGATGTTTTGAAACATTGTGTTATCTGCCACTATGTTGTCCTGTAATTCACTGTTGATGCAGTTACCCTTTTTTACGATCGCTATGATAATCCTTTCAATACTTTTAACAGTTTTCCTAAACTGTTAACACACCAACAACACACTACTGGCAAAAAGGTTAACTTCATGCTCAAAATCACACATTGTAAACTAAACTCCAACTCTAATTTTCAAAATACAATAATGCACAATACACTATGTCTACCAAAACAGTAACCCCTGTTCTCTTCCAACAGGAACGTCATAGCCCAATGTCATAAAAACACTAATATCAGGTGGAATTACAGAAACTGCATTATTTTATGTCAGGTCTGCCCCTTATACATTAGACACTATATTATTGATCATAGAGTATGCTTTGCATTGTAGTTTTGTTTGAAGCTTTTATAAATTTTTCTTTTGGTGGGTTTAGTAAATGCATGCATTTTGTTTCCTTTGCTGCAGAAATTCAATACAAAAGATGAATGACCAATCTCATAGTAACTTTATAGAATGTACGGTTTATTTAAAAAAAAAGAAGATATAATTGTCATTTGTAAATTTGGCAGTAAAAATCCATTGTTTTGGTCTTGGTTGAGCTTGAGTTGAGTGTGTAAAAGAAAATCAAGCATTTTACAGTTTTTTTCAGTTGCTAATCAGCGTTAACCTGAACTTAAGATACTTCATTGAAACTCTTAACACAGCAACACACTTACCTCACACAATTAGCCAAATAGTACATTTTCTGCTCAAAACCACATTTTGTTCTTTAAACACAAACTCTACATTTCAAAATGCAAATAAACATTGTCTATATACACAAACTATCAAAATGCAGCAAACCTTACTCAAAATCAAATCATTTTGTCAAAACACTAGCAACTTTATTTTCAAGAGGACCAGATCAATCAATCAATCATGTTACAACAACTTTCTAAATACAAACATTTGATGGCATTACAAAAACTGCATTAATTTTCATGTTTCAGCTCTACCTGCATACAGTAGACAATGTGATCCCTACACAAAGCAATCTCAGTCCCAGCTGTTCTCATCTGTAACATCACGATGGTGAAACAAACTACCATGCCATCAGAACAGGGGTGCCCCTCTCTAACTTCAAGAAGCTAATGAAAACTCATATCTTCTGAGAACACCTTATGATATCACTATCCCCTAACCTCTGCACTTCCTGTGCTCTTCTTCAATCTCCTTACAATTCTCTTGTATTGATTGTACTATTCGTTAACTCTTAATTCTTTCCCCAAGTATTTACCCTATTGATTCTGGGCATGCTACTGTAATAGCTCTTATTAGTATTTATTGTCACTTTTGGATCTCTTACTGTATTGATGCTTGTTGCGTGATCTTCTGAAAAAGCCCAAACTTGATCCAGATGTTTTAGCAAACTATAGACATATCTAACCTTCCATTTCTCTCTAAGGTCCTGGAGAAAGCAGTTGCCAAACAGCTGTGTGACTTTCTACAGAGCAATAGTTTATTTGAGGATTTTCAGTCAGGATTTAGAGTTCATCATAGCACAGAGACAACACTGGTGAAAATTACTACCGACCTCCTTATTGCATCAGACAAAGGACTTGTCTCTGTACTGGTTTTATTAGATGTTAGTGCTGCATTTGATACCATTGACCATCAGATCCTATTGCAGAGATTGGAACATTTCATTGGCATTAAAGGAACCGCTCTAAGCTGGTTTAAGTCGTATTTATCAGATCGGTTTGCAGTTTGTACATGTTAACGATGAGTTCTCCGTGCACGCCAAAGTTAGTCATGGAGTTCCTCAAGAATCTGTCCTCGGACCAATCCTGTTCACTTTATATATGCTTCCTTTTGGCAATATTATCAGGAAACATTCCATAACCTTTCATTGTTATGCAGATGATACTCAGTTATATCTATCAATCAAGTCAGATGAAACTAATCAGTTAGCTAAACTTCAAATGTGCCTTCAGGATGTTAAAACCTGGGTGACCTGTAATTTTCTAATGTTAAACTCAGATAAAACTGAAGTTATTGTTCTGGGGACCAAGCACCTCCGTGAAGCATTATCTAAAGATATAGTTTCCCTTGATGGCATTGCCCTGGCCTCCAGCACTACTGTGAGGAATCTTGGAGTTATCTTTGATCAGGACATGTCGTTTAAGTCTCACATTAAGCAAATTTCAAGGACCGCCTTTTTTCACCTACGTAATATTGCGAAAATCAGGAACATAAAAACTAGTCCATGCATTTGTTACTTCTAGGCTGGATTACTGCAATTCCTTATTATCAGGCTGCTCGAAAAAGTCCATTAAGACTCTTCAGCTGATACAGAATGCTGCAGCACGTGTTCTGACAGGAACCAGGAAAAGAGATCATATTTCTCCTGTCTTTACTGGCTTCCAGTAAAATCCAGAATAGAATTTAAAATCATTCTTCTTACCTACAAAGCTCTTAATGGTCAGACACCATCTTATCTTAAAGAGCTCATAGTACCTTACTACCCCACCAGAGCACTGCGCTCCCAGAATGCAGGGTTACTTGTGGTTCCTAGAGTCTCCAAAAGTAGAATGGGAGCCAGAGCGTTCAGCTATCAAGCCCCTCTTCTGTGGAACCAGGTTCCAGTTTGGGTTCAGGAGGCAGACACCATCTCCACATTTAAGAGTAGGCTTAAGACTTTCCTCTTTGATAAAGCTTATAATTGGCTCAGGTGAGTCCTGAACCATCCCTTAGTTATGCTGCTATAGGCCTAGACTGCCGGGGGATTTCCCATGATGCACTGAGCTCCTCTCTCCTCTACTTTCTCTCCCTCTGTATGCAACCTCATCCCATTATTGCATGTTACTAACTCGACTTCTCCCCTTTCTTGTGCTTTCTCGTCCCTCTCCTCTCTCCTCCTATCACTTCCTGCATGTGTTTCTGGCTCTGGAGCTGTGGAGTCTGGATCTGTGGCTGCGGGTCACCTGCTGCCCCCGTGTTCCTGCTCGACACCCTCTGCTGCAACGACTATTGTTACTAGTCTTATTGTTATTATTGCTATTAATCATTAACATTACGACTGTTACCATTAACACTACTATAAATATCTGTACCATTTTTCATTTAGTCTATAGCAACATCACCTTTACTGTCTGTACCTCTGTGTGTATATTGTATAGGCTGCCTCCTCTCTCTCTCTCTCTCTCTCTCTCTCTCTCTCTCTCTCTCTCTCACTCTCTCTCTCTCTCTCGCTCTCTCTCCTTCACCCCAACCGGTCGAGGCAGATGGCCGCCCACCCTGAGCCATGGTTCTGCTCGAGGTTTCTGCCTCTTAAAAGGAAGTTTTTCCTTGCCTCTGTCGCCTAGTGCTTGCTCTTGGAGGGAATTGTTGGGCTTCTGTAAATATCATCACAGAGTACGGTCTAGACCTGCTCTTTTATGAAAAGCGCTGTGAGTTAATTGTTGTTGTGATTTGGCGCTATATAAATAAAATTTAATTGAACTGAATTGAATGTTGTTTCTCATATGTAAGTTGCTTTGTGTCTGCCATTGAGTTAATGTAAATGCACAATTAAAGCTGCAGGCAGTGTTGGGCGGGCCCTCGCATGTGTAGCGCGTGTGAGGTGGCCACGTTGCAGATTCTGAAGCTCTGCCGGTGTCGCTGTGAATTTGCAATGCACAAAGGCGTTAATCATCGCTTCCTGTGGCGCTACATAGCACTACAAGAGTAAATGCTCCGTATTTGTATAGCGCCTTTCTAGTCTTTTCAACTACTCAAAGCGCTTTTACACACTACACATTTAGAAACTCAAACAGAAACTAACATTCACACACATTCATACACTGGTGGAACAGCCACCAGGGGCAATTCGGGGCCAAGGACGACCTTCCGATTAACGGCCAACCCACTCTACCTCCTGAGCCACAGCCTAACTGAACTGAGTGTAACTGAACATGTATATGTTGTTTGGGGCAGGACTCTTCTGAAACATGTAAAGTTTGGTACAGATCTGTACAGTCAAGGTACAACAACTTGTTTCATGGGAAATCATTGATATTGGAAGCCACGCCACGGGCACGCCATTCCACGAAAACTCACTGTTTGTACAACTTTTAATTGTCAGTGGCTTTAGAGTAGACAGGGAAAATCTGAGGTCGGTCACACTAATTCTCTAGGAGGAGTTTGTTAGTTCCAGTGTGTAAAAAATCCCAAAATGACCATAAAATTCAAGATGGCCGACTTCCGGTTGGGTTTAGGACATCCCTCCAAAAGTCTTTTTTGTACATGTGGACATGATACATGTGCCACAGAAATTTCGTACATGTAGGTCAAACGTGCCAGGGGGCTGCTTCATTGAAGGTCATTTTCTGTTGCCACTAGGTGGCGCTATGACCATGGGTGAATGTTCGTGTGTACATGTGTTCAGGGCGGGACTCTTATTAAAC